GGCCTGAAAAATTGTGATGTATTTGATCCTGTAACAAAGTCATGGACAAGCTGTGCTCCTCTTAACATTCGTAAGCTGGTCTTTTTGTTTGGGGGGATAGGGTTTTGCATTTCTGGCTAGCTTGGAATTTTATGTAGACCAAACTGGCTGGCCTTGAATTAATAGATTATAGTACATATTTACAATTTTGAGAGCTTTGGTTTGTCTTTTATAGGTAGACACCAGTCTGCAGTTTGTGAACTTGGTGGTTATTTGTATATAATTGGAGGTGCAGAATCTTGGAATTGTCTGAACACAGTAGAACGATACAATCCTGAAAATAACACCTGGACTTTAATTGCACCCATGAATGTGGCTAGGCGAGGAGCTGGAGTTGCTGTTCTTGATGGTGAGTATCCAGATTTGGACAGGTAAATAGTATGAGGTGGCAAGCATTAGTTCCAAAATTCCAAGAAAGGTCACTTACACACTTCTTTACAAATTGCAGGGACTGGTGAAGTGGCTTAGCAGGTTGAATGCCTGCCCTACTGACAAAAACCCTGAGTTGGATTCCCCGGAACCCATGTAAAGGTGGAAGGAGAAAATTGACTCCAAATAGTTGCCCTCTGACCTCCACCTGTGCTCTGTAGCATGAACTCCTGTCATACACACAATTAGTGACATAAAGGGATTAAGGATGTTTCCCCTTAAGTACCTGATACGTACCTTAAATATATTCATTTACCCATCTCTTGGTGTATATTCTTAACCAAGTTCCAAATTCTCTCTGTGAGATGTATCTGTAACTCAGCCTTGGATTTTGAGTTGACTGTTTTTTTTTTTAAAGGATAGTAATTTTAAGAATGAATTTTATTTCAAAGCACAATAAATCTCTCCAAAACAATAAGTTTTGTTTTATAAACATATCCTTTCACCGTCTTTATTGATTGTTTTACTGTCTATTTATATAATTAACATCATTTGGAACAAAGCTGAATCTTACCAGGATTGTGGCTCAGCTAATGAGCATTAAGTATGCTCCTGACCCAGAACCCTCAACCTTTTGTGAACCCTGTCAGTGAAGTTACAGCTGCATACTTGCAACCTGGCTGAGTGATAGAGAAAATAATGAATCTGAGTATTAGTGGGGTTTTTTTCCCCCCTTAGTTTATTGCTGAGTTTTCGTTACAGTATATTTAACTATTGAATCTCTACTTTGCATAGAAACTTGAAATTAGTCATACGTAAGTGTTTCTGGAAGCAACATTCATATCATACGTAAGTGTTTCTGGAAGCAACATTCATACCAAAAGTTGTATTCAGATGAAAACTCTAGAAGCTCAGTCATCTGGTCTTTTCTGTAACTTTTTGTGATACATACATACATACATTATCCCAGCTCCTCTGTAACAACTTTGAATATACAGAACTATGCTAAGTTTGTCACTCATATCTTTAGGCAAGTTTTCTGTTTTCTTTAGGTCTCTTAATTTTTCAACTGCGAAATAGACACAATAGTAATTGCCAGAGAATTGTGGGAGATATACTTAAGATGGTTCCATTTCTGCCCTTTTCTCCCTATAGTTGCATAAGTTTCTGTAGGAATGGATTATTGTCCACTTAACTCATCTTAGAATTATGGTTTCTAGTATCCTTGTCACAATTACACAGACCTTGTCATTGTTTTTGGAAGACAAAATCTCACTGTTGCCCTGGCTGACCTCAAACTGGTAGTTCTCAGTTTAGCTTCCAAAATGGTGACATTACAAGTCAAATAAATACCTACAGAGGTATAAAATTTCTACATAAAACCTGAGAGTTTTGAGTTTGTTTTTGTTTTTCTGAACCTCTTTAGATTGACAGTCCTGTTTCTTTTTTAGGAAAACTGTTTGTAGGTGGTGGCTTTGACGGCTCTCATGCCATCAGTTGTGTGGAGATGTATGATCCAACTAGAAATGAATGGAAGATGATGGGAAACATGACTTCACCAAGAAGCAATGCTGGGATTACAACTGTAGGGAACACCATTTATGCAGTGGGAGGATTTGATGGCAATGAATTTCTGAATACGGTGGAAGTCTATAACCTTGAGTCAAATGAGTGGAGCCCTTACACGAAGATTTTCCAGTTTTAACAAATTTAAGACCCCTCAAACTAACAGGCTTAGTGATGTAATTGTGTTTAGTAGAGGTACACTTGTGAATAAGGAGGGTGGGTGGGGTAGATGTTGCTAACAGCAACACAAAGCTTTTGCATATTGCATATTATTAAACATGCTGTACATACTTTCTGTGTTTGGAAAGGAATGCAAAGATGAAGGTCTGTTTGTGTATTCTTAAGGTGTCTTTGGTTATTTTACTTTTTGAAGGTTGGTACTGTAAAAGAATAAACCATGAATTGATTGGGAACATCATTTCAAATCCCTGCTCCTCCACATTTGTTTTGCCGATTTGCACATTAAATGACTCTTCCCTCTGGTTGTCTTACAGGCCAAGAGGGATAGGGTTTCAATGTAGGCAGTTGGGTTTTTTAAGGGCCCTTTTTCAATAACTGGAACACTCTATAACAAGATACTTATTTAAATAGATAACAATGACTATTTTTGTTTTTATTAAAAGAAAGTTGACATGCCTACCAATATTTAGTCTTTTATGATTACATTTTTATAACTTTTTATATTCTCAGCAGAGTGCTTTGTCTGTTGAAGTAAAATGTGACAGATTTGAGTTATCAAAGCAGAGTGGCAGTTGGAAAGGATGCAGAGCAGGGTGTTTCTTCTAAATGCTCAGAATGCAAACTCAAGCATTTGCTGCAGCTGTACTTTTCTATTTGAGAATGCAGTATCAATGTTTATTTGGATGGAGTTGCTGAACAGTAACATGGTAATAATTCAAACCTAGGTTTGATGAGTTACTTGACTGATTCAGGGTATGATGTTTAACCTGTCTTTATTTATCATTAACAAAACAATTGTAAGTGGAAGCCTTTGATTGAAAAAAATTAAACTATTGAGTTTGTGAATGCATCATTTTCCAGAACTGTTTCTATTTACCTCGATTAATACTGGTTGGGATGACTTGGTGTCTGATGTGTAGTGCTACACACCTAACTTATGGTACCCAAACGAGCAAATCCTAATGCTTACTGCAGATACACACATTAAAGGTACTTTGCAGTAAATTCGCACTGTGGGATTAATGTCCAAATGTTGTTTTCTACTCAATTCATTACTTACAATGTGGGTGTCTCCCAGTAAGGATGAGCTTACAGTATTAGTGGAAACTACTCACTTGCAATATCTGAAGTAACAGATGATGTGAGGTTTGTCTTTTATGGAAACCCAATCAGCTGGCATAAGATGACTGTAAAGGGCTCACGGGGTGTGGGTATATTTTTAACTGTTTGGCTGGTCCTTTGCCACTTCCTTCCTCTGACATACAACTATCAAATTCTTTTTCTGGTTTGGGTTTGGATTAAACTAGTTTGGCAGGTTAGCATATTTGGTGTGGCCTAATTATAGCACAATAAATAAAAACCAGAGACTGATATTTAGGGTTCAAGCGGAGGGTCAAATAAGCAAAGCAGCTGGCCACTAGCTCTTACCTCTACCTCAGACTTCACTGCTCAGATTCACTCAGACTGCTATGCTCTTCTCAATATGTCTAGAGACTTCATTGCCTTCCTACCCTTTGCCTTTTATACCTCCCTAGTACTGGAATTAAAGGTGTGTACTGTCACTGCCTGGCTTCTATAGCTAACTGGTATGACTGCTTTGCTATTTTGATCTCCAGTGCCTTTAATAAGTCATAAACAATATATCACCACACCTAATGATTATCCCTCATACAGACCTCTGTATTCTGATCAGCCATGAAATAAAGTTTGAATTGAGGATCTTAAAAATCACTTCTTGTTGCAGAAGTTATGTGCTTCATGTAAGTAGTGTGAGAATACTTGATAAGAAAAGTTTGCCTAAATTCACTGTTGGTGACAAAACAAAATTTGTTGCCTAAAAGCATGCTTCTAAGGAAGCAGCAATAGGGACTGGAGATGGCTCCAGCAGTTAGGAGCACTGACTGAGTTCAATTCCCAGCCACCACATTCGTGGCTCATTATCATCTATAATGAGATCTGGTACCCTCTTTATACATGCAGGCAGAACACTGTATACATCAAACAGTAATAACCTATCTCAAAACAACCCACAGATAGTGCTCAGCAACCAATTAGGGTTTATCTCCATCTAAAAGTTGTATTTTCTTCAGGTAAGAAGAAAATGGCATTGCCTGCATACTTTTTTTTGAAAATTAGAGGTTTACTTTATCATTATGTGATTTGGAACAATTTTAAAATATTAGCAATGCCACAATTTTCTTAAAAAAACCACAAAATACATGTCTCTGGCTAGCCTGGAACTTAGAATATATAGTCCAGGCTGGTCTTGAACTCCATAGAGATCTGCCTGGCTCTGCCTGAGTAGTACGGGGGATTAAATGAATGTCACCATGCTTAGTGACACCATACCTTTTTAATTTTATTTTCATTTTACTTTTTTAAGGTTTTTTTTTGTTTTATGTGTATGAGTGTGTGCAGTGCCCACAGAGGTCAAAAGGGAGTCATCTCATCTGGAACTAGAATTATAAAGGGATGGTTGTGGGTTACCATGTGTGTATTGAGAGCTGGCCCCATCTCCAATCCCATTCTACACTTTTTGACCAATTATACATAAAAGTTACATAAATATAAATAGTACATAAAATGTAATGGGAAAACTTAAAACTTCAACAAAATATTTTCCTGTACTCAGGGCATGGGTTTTCTTTTTTAAAGACAGGATCTCATAATGTAGCACTAGTTGGCCTGGAACTTTTTATGTAGACCATGCTGGCTCTAACAGATTCTCCTGTTGCTGCCTCCCACACCCAAATGAATTTTTGTTTACTATGACTTAATGTAGTGTTCTGATATTTAGAGTAGCTTGCCATTGCTCAGTATTTTATGGTAGAATGCAAGAGTCCTTATTAACTAGTCAAGTGTTTTTAATCCAACCTTTAACATCTCTAGAAAGAGGCAGAGGATAGAGTCCAGGTAGAACAATCCTGTAGTTGCATGGTCGCCTCAGGCACCTGAGTCACAGCAAAGTCTCTGTAGTATTCCTTCTTTGCTTTTTTGTTTCTCTTCCTTCAACAACAACAAAAGAAAAAAATCTGAAGGAGCTACGTGAGTTTTAACGTACATTAACTGAGAAGGATCTGAGTGGTAACATACAAGAAAGGGAACAAGGTATAAAGTGAATGAGTGAGTCACAATAGGAAAATCAGAACAAATCTACCCTTACAAAGTTCTGTGTGGGTGGGATAAAGTTTATCAGAATTTAGAATGATACAGCGACACAATGGCCAATAAAATTTATAATTGTGGCTCGAACCTGTAGTCCCAGCACTGCAGAGGCAGAGGCAGAGGCAGCCTATTAAATACATAGTGAGTGCCAGGGCTACATAGAATTTATCTAAGGAAAACAAAGCAGTACTCAACATTGTTAAGAGTCTCACACAGGGCAGAAAAATATTGTGCCTGTGACCCTGAACTCCACTGCTAACAATCTACGCCTTACTGATAATGATACAGATGTATTAAAATACCAAAGTTGTTGGCATGGTAGTTCCAGGACAGGCTCCAAAGCTACACAGAGAAACCCTGTCACAAAAACAAAAGACAAAACAACAACAACAACAAAAAGACAAAACCCCAAATTGTTAGAATATAAAGAAAGTGAAGTTACATGGACTCCACTGAGTTCCCAGGGTTCAGGAGGAAATGCAAGATCATGTAGGCATTTTGAAAAGTGCTTTTGTTGAGCTGTGGTGGCGCACACCTTTAATCTCAGCACTTGGGAGGCAGAGGAAGGTAGATCTCTAGGCCAGCCTGGTCTACAGCAAGTTCCAGGACAGGCTCAAAAGCTACAAAGAGAAACCCTGTCTCGGAAAAAAGAAAAGTGCACTTCAGTAACACTGGGATAAAGCAATTACATTGGTGGTTATTTATAAAAGTAAAATTAGATTCATTCACACTCAAAACTATATGGGATTAGAGCTCCCCAAACTGGAAACCACAGTAGCCTACCAACTGGCTAATGGTATACTGTAGGCACTGATAGATTGCAAGCATTGAGAAGAAAAAATCTACCCCTGCTTTGACAACACATATTAAAACTGGAGCCATCCATAGATTAGCATGGTCCTACACAACGATGACATGCAAATTTGTGATGAGTCCGCTTCTCCAGCCCCAAGGGCCTTTAATCTTGAAACTAGGGGACACTGTAATATGGATGAAAACCTTACATTGCTTCTAAAGGACAATAAACTTAATGCTGTCTATTCAGGAAGCTTATGACTGTTAATCAAAGTGTGAGAACTTCCACCAATGGCAGAAGACTGAACCTTTGAGAGCATCTAGCATAGACTGGCTGAGCATCTTCATCTTGGCTTTTGTAGACATATCAACCTAATTTCCCCCCAATACAATCATTCAGCCCATCTTTGGCAGGACAATCTTAACTCAAGTTTCAGTGCTTGGCCTTGACTTGGGAAAGCTCTTGAGGATGGTCTTCAACTAGATGCAGTGGTCATTGTACAAGGTACTTCTCCACAATGGAGATTCATGATAGTGGAAAAAGAAATGATTTGCTGGGTGTTGCTTAGGCAACCATTTTCAGCAAGTAAATTCACGAGGCTGGCAGGCAGGGAAACTTTTTCTTTGCTGGGATGTCATTCAGGCTTTTCACTTTGATGAAACACTCAATGCAGACACCACAACTTACTTTCTACTGACCCAGCTTAATCTGTTTAGACACAGGAAGGCCTGACCACAGATGTTCTAAAAGTCCACACCTGTTGGAACATCCCGATGCTGTAGCTATCTCCCAGGTCACCCGGCTTTAAGTAAGGTGAAGAAACAAGTGAGGAAACTATCCCCATATTAAACTTTAGCCTCCACATGGGCAGGTATCTTACACAAATTGAAAGCATAATACAAAAGGCTCTAATTCTGTAGCATTCTGGAAAAGGCAGAATAGAAGAAAGAGCAAACATCTGGCATAAACCTAAAGGTAGGGATGGGAGTTAACCACAAAAGGTCTCAAGAATTTGTAGGGGTGATGTGGCTTCTGACATGAATGAACTGGTGATTGCATGACTATGTATTTAGTAAAGCACATACAATTCTACAAAGGAGTTTTTTTTTTTTTTTTCCCTAGCTTAACCCATAAAGAGGTTCAAGTACACTTAGAAGAAATGTAGGACAAATCTGTATTTTACCTCACTAGAGAACTAGTTATTCTCACCTTAGAGACATCTGGACTGAGTTGATAGTTTAGCTCATATCCATTAGTTTACAGTTGAGTTATAGAGGTTGAAAAGAGATTAAAACTCAAAAAATAATGTTGAAACTGGAATTGTGGGGCTAAAGTGTAGTTAAGTTGGTAGAATGTCTGTTTAGCAAGGACGACCTGCACTCATCTGTAGCACTCTACAAGCCCAGTGTGGTGCCACAAGTCTGTAATCCCAGCCAGGTGGAGAGGGAGGAAGGAAGTAGTTGAGATTTGAGTGCCTTTCATGTAGCCCAAACTAGCCTCGACTTAACTAACAGCAATGCTGCCTCAGCCTCCTGAGTGCTGGGATTCGTTGTGTCACACACAGCTTCATGGATATTTCTGTGGTTTTGTTTTTTAGTTTTATGCATGGGAATGTTTTGTCTGTATGTATGCCTGTGTACCAGGTGCACACCAACCAGAAGCTAAAAGTAGGGTTCAATGACCTGGAGCTGAAGTTATAGGTGGTTGTGAACCATAAGTCTTGATTTATTGCTATGGCTAGCCTCTGGAAATAAATATGTAGACCAGGCTGGTCTCAAACTTGTGGCAATCTTACCCTTTCCTTCTCAATATCTGGATTACAGGTGAGCCACCATGCCTGTACCTCCATGGTTGTGTGTGTAGAACAGGGGTCAGCATGGACTGTATTCCTGCCACTTCCTGAGACAAGGTCCCTCAGTGAATCTTAAGCTCACTGACTCAGCTAGATTGTCCTGCATGCCTCAGGGATTCTCTTGTCTGCTTCCCCTGTACTGGGATTACAGGTTTGCACCATTACTGGCCTTCTCACCTGGGTGCTAGGTGTCATACTCTGGTCCTCAAGTCAGCATGGCCAGATTTTACCAAATACCTAATCCTGCCTCAAATAAAATTCTATACTGCAGAGATGGCACAGAGGTTAAGAGCACCTATAGAGGGCTTTTACAGAGGGCCCAGGTTTGATTTCCAGTACCCATATGTTGGCTGACAACTGTAAGTACAGTTCCAGGGTATACACTGCCCTCTTCTGATGTCTATGGGCATCAGACACATACCTGGCACACACATGCATGCAGGCAAAATAGTTATTATATACACAAAATATAAATATTTTTGAAAATTTCATGTTTAGATATTTGGTCCCATTTTATGAATTTTTCCAACCTAATTTCACAAATATGGATCTATTTCCTTCCTAGGAGAGGATATTCTGGTTTAGTAGGTCCTTAGTACTATTTTCTGGGGTCAAGGAAAACTGTAAAGAATTGAAGTATATAACACTTCACTAAGATTTGCACAAGACTTGGACAATTGTGACTGCTGATTGGAACTTCACAGATTGCTGTTTCACCTTGACATTGTAGGTCTTTGCTGGTTTCAGAAAAGACCATCACAAGGCAGACCTGAGCAATACTTTCTCAATATTGTGAATGTCATCTCAATGGAACAGCTTTCTTGAGTCAATTCCTGTTTATGTATTGTCTTAGTCAACTCTCAGCCCAGGTTATACTGTTGACACTCCTGACTGGACAACTTCCTGGTCCACCTGTCTGGTGGAGTGCTATTCAGCCTTGAATTATCATGATAGGTTGGAATGAATGTCTTTTTTTACGGAGTATTCAGACAAATATGTATGCTATGAAGTGCTACTCATAGGACTTGCAATCCAGAGACCAGACAAGCAGGCCACCCTTTATTTTTATCGCTCTTAGGATCTTTTACTAATCAACCCACTAGAGTTTCTAAACCTCCATGCAAGAGGTTTACACTATCCTATGTTTAATTCAGTATGACCAGTTGTAGTCAGTGTTGACAAACTGACTACTTAAAACTTGGAAGCTCTGTGGTATGTTCTATGGGTCATAAGCCACTTAATAAACTCAAGTCTATTAGATCTTGGAATGTGCCTCATAAAGACATTCTTATGGAGTCAAAGCACCCTCAAATGTTGTCTTTCCTAAAGAGTGTGATACGCAGAACCCCGGTGAGAAAGCCAGTAACTGTGCATACCCGTAATGTTAGTGCAGGAGAAACAGAAGAATCCCCGAGGCTTGCTGGACAGGCGGTCCAGCTGAGTCAGTGAGATTAAGGTTCACTGAAGGAACCTTTTTCAGGAAGTGACTCAATCATCTCCACCTTACTTTTGAGATGGTGTCTGGCCAGTGAGCTCTAGAGATCTGCCTGTCTCTGCCTCTATGGCCTGAGGATTATAGGCAGATGCAGCTGTGCTGGCTTTTCATGTGGAAGCTGGGAATCAGCATTCAGGTACTCATGCTTTCATGGCAAGCAGGATCCTGAAGTTAACACGGTAGTGCATGCCTATAATGCTAGTCTTGTGGAGACCAAAGAAGGAAAAATGTCACAATTTCCATATCAAACCATCCTATCAGGCTAACTAGGGCTATGTAGCAATACTCTAGTCTTAAAAATCAAGGAGGAGGAAGACTTCCTGACATACTGAAGCTTCTAGCCATCTAGAAGCGCACGGTCCTGCTGGGACACTCATCTGTCTACAAACTTTAACACATGGGTTTTCGCACCTTGTAAACATACGACTGAGCAGATCCTGCACCAAGTACTACTGCATATCCAGAATCTTTCTTGTTAATGGAAAGACTCGTTTTTATAATTACACCTCATACTCATTTCAGAAAGTATGGAAGTAAACTGAAAAGCAAATATTACTAAAATAAGTTATTTATTGCTATTTAAAAATAAACAATTATAGAAAATCAAATTTGATTTACCCTATTAACAAAAGCTTAATACACTCCAGTAAATAAGGATTTCCAACTTAATGTGTAACTAAGTCAATTAAACACTTGAGTTTTAGATAGGGGCAAATAGCAACCACTGCCATGTAATTGATTCCCCAAATCCACACTGCTTCATATTAAGGGGAATCCTCAGAGGGGCTCTTCCCGACTGGAAATGTACAGAAAAATGACACAACTCCCAAAGCAGCTACAGAGAAGGTGCTAGATTAAAATTCTGCTTCATATCCCTGAAGGAGCTGGTGGTTTTCCCCACCAGTTTTATATAAATGACGGTTTATTCATGAAAGCAACCCATTAATGGAATGTGGTAGCATGGTCATGTCTTAAGTCTTAGGGCTTGGCAGTGTCTGGTCATATGCCCACATTCAGAGTTAGGAGAGATACTAAGGCTGTGGGCTGCCATCATGTCACAGTGATTCCTGCCTCAGGAACACTAAGAAGATGGCTCTCTTCTCCTTAGAGGTAGGAAGTATTGGCAACTCCAGAAGAGCTGGGTCTACAGTTTATCCTACAGCAGATTCAATGAGATCGTCAATAAAACTTTTTTTTTTTTTGTATCTATGAAAGATTTTCTTGAAATTATCCTAGGTTTGGTTCAAAAAAGCAACCAGTTTGAAAGTTACTCATGATGATAGATGTTATTCCTCCCAAGAACTTAAGTCCTATTGTTGAACACGTCTTCACACCATCCTCTGTTTTTGGCCTCCATATAGACAGATGCATTGCACTGTTGCATTGTATACTCCATCTCAATCAGTTGGCGGCATCCAATGGTTAATTTTTCCCTAGGGAGGAAAAAAGGGTGAATCACAGAGGACAGTCAAAAATTCCAGGACTCCTGAGGCAGAAACAGGCAGGTATCTGAGTTCCAGGCAACCTGGTCTATGTAGTGACAGTTCCAGTCTAGCCAGAGCTACACACCCTGTCTCAACAAATATTTATTTATAATTGTATATATACATGTTTGTATGTATTGGCTTATGCATATGAATGTAGTGCCCACAGAAGCCAGAAGAGTGTGTGAGATCCCCTGAGAGTGGAGTTACAGGTGGTTGACAGCTGCCCAAATTGAAAGCTGGCAACTGAACTCTAGTCCTTTCCAAAAGCAATATGAACCTCTTAACCCCTGTGCCATCTCTCCAGCCCATCCCCTACATTTGACCCCTAGACCCACATAGTAAAAGGAAAGAAGTGATTATCCAAATTGTCCTCTATCTTCACATGTATGTTGTGGTACACACACACAAGCAGGCAAGCCTGCACGGCTCAGATTTAAAAAAAAAAATTAGTTATATAGCTGGGTGTGGTGGCTAATGAAAGGCTAAAGCAGGAAAATCCTCAAATTCAAGGCTAGTCTCCCATACAAAAATGAGCTCCTATCTAAAACAAACAAACAAACAAAAACAAAAAACAAAAACCCAAAAAACCCACAGCAAAATTAAGAACTGTAGATATTTACTGTATCTTTGAAGATACAGTATGGTTTGAAGTATGTATACAAAATGGAATTGGCTTGGTTGAGGTATTTAATATATATCATGTCCCAAAAATCAAAAATCTCTTGAACTACTACTTGTAACTGAAATTTTGTGTCCTTTAATTAACATCCATCCAATCTTTCAACTACTATCCTGGTGACCTCCATTCTGCCTGTTTCTGGAATCCACTATTTTGAATCTGCACAAAAGTGAGCGCATATAGTGTTTGTTTTTCTGCTATCATAAGACACTTGATATAATGCTGCCTAGGTTCATCCATATGTCTCCAACAACAGGACTTCCTTCTTTTCAAAGACAAAACAGTATTCTACAGAGCATTTTCCTTTATCTGTTCATTAGCGGGTAGGCATTTAGATTGATTTCCTATCTTGGCTACTATAACCAATGTTACACGGAACATAAAAATGCATAAATCTTTTAAATATATTATGTCCATTTCCCTTAGATATATTAGAAATTCTTTTCATTTGACAGTCCTACAATTAAACCTAGACTTTATGCATGTGAGGCAAGTGTTCCACCAGCCAATATTCTTAATATGATGTGACAATTTTAGAGAAAATGCTCTTCTTAGCAAAGAGCACAGTTTCTTAAATACCCAACTGAGAAGATTTCTAGCTGTAATTCCTAGAATTCAAAAATAAGGGTTCCCATGAGAAACCTCTGTAAATAAGCAAAGTTGAATGTTTAAGTAGAATACTATGGGCTGAACAGCCTGTCTACCTGATTCTCTGAAGAACCTCTCCTAGCTTATATTTAGATGTCATCAGGGAGTAAATGATGTAGGACAGATGGCTACACTGTGTCCACTTTAGTTGGAGAGTTAAAGAAAGGTGAACTGCAGAGTTCACTTCCTGTAGGAACAGACACTTGAGAAAAGGCAAGGTGCCATGCTACCACTATGAAAAAGGCTGATGGTGGGCTGGCATGATGGCTCTGTGGGTAAAGGTGCTGGTTGCAAAGCCTGATGACCTGAGTGGTCTCTAGAACCCACATGGTATTAAGAGAGAACCAACTCTAGCAAACTGTCCCCTGACCAATGTATTCCCTTACCCCAAATAATAAAACCACTGGTGTAAGGCAACTAGCAATTAAATGAATATTTATAACTCTAAACCAAAGGTAGGATATGCTGAGAGTGGTAACACATACCTTTTTAATCCCAGCACTTGAGAGGCAGAGGCAGAGGGAGAGGCAGAGACCAGTGGATCTATTTGACTTTGAGGCTAGTCTGGTTTTAGTAAGTTCTAGGCCAGCAAAGGCTACATAGTGAGATCCTGTGTAAAACAAACAACAACAACAAAAAAAATGTGCAAAAACAGGAAGTCATGCCTAATATACTTCATGCCTAGATAACAATTTTTTAAAATTATTACTTTGAAAAAAGATTTTTACATGTGTGGTGGAATATTTGTTTAACTAGGCAAAGATGTGTTACATTTGTTTCTGCTGCGTTTATTTAATTATTTAATTATAAAGATGGGCTGCTGTTTCACCTTGCCTGCCTGAGGCACCTGCTTAGTCTAACAGAGCTGAACCACCATTAGCTAGGCAGAGAAAGGATAGGCAGGGTGGGCAGGCAGAGAGAGTAAGTAAGTAGGAGAAGAGGGAGGAAAGAAAGAGGGAGAGGGTCATGCCCAGGGTCAGAAGCTAGGCAACTACCAGCCATACAGACACAAGAAATGGTGAAAGTAAGATATATAGAAGGAAAGAACAGGTAAAAAGCCCCAAGACAAAATGTAGATGAAGGTTAAGTTATAAGAGCTAGTGGGACAAGCATAAGATAAGGCCGAGCATTCATAACTAGTAAGAATTCTCCATGTCATGACTTGGGAGCTGGTTGGTGGCCTAAAAGAAAAAAAAAAAAAACCTGCTATATGTGTATATGTTTATTCATGTGGGAGCCCAAAGGCCAGAGGAGGATACTGATGGCGTTAACAGGTGGTTGTAAGCCACACAACTTAAGTTCTGGAAACAAAAATCAGGTCCTCTAAAAGAGCAATGAGTACTTTCAACTGCTGAGCCATCTTTCCAGCTCTAATTTACTTTATATAAAAAAAAAGAAAAAACCTGATAGGAGAGGGCTGAAGAGATGGCTCAGAGGTTAAGAGCACTGGCTGCTTTTCCAGAGGTCCTGAGCTCAATTCCCATCAACCACAGGGCAGCTCACAACCATCTATAATGAGATCTGATGCCCTCTTCAGGCATGCAGGCATACATCCAGACAGAACACCATAAATAATAAATAAATAAATCTGAAAAGAATCTGAGATGAATCTAGTTAAAAGCTAACAGGGGCCTACAAATTATGAGAAGGAGGATGGGAGGGATGGACAGAGGAGATAATATGGAGAGGATTAATTAATACTAAATACCTTTTGAAAAAGTCATATGGAAACCTACTATAGTGGAAGCTTCCTAAGATTATGCACACACACATATATACATGTAAAAGGAATTTAAATGGAGTTATCCTGATAATGGGAGCATAACACCCAAACTAGATACCTTGTACTACCAAATGAAAACCCACTACTAGGAATGGATTACTTCTTTTTAAGTTGTTAGCCAATGGGATACAACAGACCCCCAGACATTATAGTCCAGAACTTGACAGTAAGATCCTATTGCTGGAAACAGCACATAATTGAGTCATAAACATGGAGAGAACAAGTAGGTTCTGACCTGGAAGCTTATCCAACTGGCTGGCTTTTACAGGGCTGGAAGGTGCTAGGCACACTACCAGCGGAGAAGAGGAATTATCAATTTCATTCAGCCATGAGCCTTTTGAGCTACAATAATGGCTTGACTGGCAAGATATACCCACTGGTACAATAGTGGCATGAATGTTATGGGGGTAACCAATCAAAGTCTGGCTGTATTTAAGGCCTGTTCTAGAAGATGGACCTACACTGGCACTGTTAATGAAGCCAAGAACCTGTGGCTTGATAGCCATAGGCTATTATAGAAAACCTATTAGTAATTCTGCTACAAGGATACAGCATTAAAATGGCTCCTAATGACTTATTGCTATACTATAGATAAATCTTTGTCTCAACCCCATTCAGAGAAGACTCTTAATACAGGAGATGGTTATCTACACAAAGAACCACAATGGTCAAGATGCAGAGAATAAAAGACTTGGAAGGTACTCAGCCCTAAAGGGAACATCTATATCACACTCTCCCCTGTAGGGGACACCCTAACCAGGCCTGCTTGAGGCTGGTTACAGGCATGTCTGGCCACGCCCACTTGGGCGTGGTCAGGTTGATGTGAGGAAGGTTTAAGAGTGAGGGACATAAAGTGGGGCCCGCCCTTTCTTCTATTTACCTTGCTCCCTGCTGGCTGGCTAGGCTGTTCTGAGTAAGTAGGGTTCTCCTAAATAAATACCCTTATATCTATACCTGACTCCATACTGATATTTCACTTTACTCCCCTTTAAAGCTAATGGATCTTTGAGGAAGAGGATGGGAAGATTGTAAGAGCCAGAGGCAGTAGACGATGTCAAAGAAATGGTATTTTCTATACATAACAGGGCAGATGCACATACAAATTCAGAGATTGTGACAGCATAGACAAGACTTGCACGAGCTCAAGCCAGACAAAATTGAAGTATGCAGGGAGGGAGGTATGGGCACATAGTCTCACCCTTCCGTGCAGAGTTGTTGGTATTTGATAGCTGTCAGGAAAGGCAAAGCCAGTATTTCTTTAATAGTATGATCTCTACATTCCATGGTAGGTCCCACACTCAAAAGAGTAATTGACCAATACATACTGGACTTGATAGGAAAAGGAAGAGAAGGAGAGGAAAAGAGAAACACATGAAGTTGGGTGGAGAGGAAGATAGGAGGGGTAAATACGATTAAAATACACTATATGAAATTCTCAAAGAATAAAAATATTACTTTAAAAAATGTTGGCTTTGAGCTTCCAAAGCCACAGAGAAACCCTGTTTCAAAAAACAAAAACAAAACAAAAAGTTGACTTTGAGTTGTCCTAAGTCTACTTCCTATACTTCAAATTATTGTGATTTTTGCTGCCAATTCTTCAGGATTACTCAAAAAAAGAAAATATTTCAGAAAAGCCTTGCACAAGGTTCAAAACAGCAAGGATGAAAATGTATGCTTATAAATTCTAAAATAAAACAAAAAGGGCAGGTCCATATTGCTACCCTTGGTCATTTACATTTGAAAAAGAATGTATCTTTCAGTAATCAAATCTATTTCTGTATCCTTTCTTTTCCTTCCCTTTCCTGCCATCAAAGTTAGGAGGGGCTTCCCCTCCTCTTTAGCCTGATGGTGCTGAACTCCTTCCCTTCTTGTGAGTCAGTGTTCTGGCAACAACCACTCAGTTATTTCCTGCAGCAAGCTGTCAGTGCAGGAGGCTGCTCGGTGCAGTTGGTGATGGGAGTGCCTAAGGACTCACCTGATGGACAGATAACCAGCCTCTGAATTCCATTATCCACATCTCCAGTGAGTCATCCCCTTGAGCACTCACCTCTTGGTAAGTGGGACGCTCACAAACATGAGAAGCAGCCCATTACATTTTGGATACTTCCTAACTAGAAGAAGGTTCTTCCCTGGGGCCTATAAAAGCCTGAGTCCAAGTTAAAATGAAAGATATTTCCACTTTCTTCCTCTGATAGTCTTATTAAGTTGCCACACCTGGCTTAAATATGTGATCGTCATATTTCAGCCTTCCAAGCATCTGAGACTACAGGTATGCACCACTCCTACCTAACACTCTAAAGTTCTAAGTTCACATAGAACAGATAGAGATATGGCTCACATGAACAAAATAATCTATAAAAATAGATGGTGGTACATGTCCACAGTCTAAGTTCAAAACTAGTCTAAGCAACACAGCAAGACCTTGCCTCAGAGTAAATAAAAAAAGATCATACATACACCCACACTTGTAAGAATCTTGAGGTCAAACATTTGAAAACCACTTTAAACTATATCGCTTATAATTACCATGTTTTGTTTTGTTTTGTTTTTTACATATATGAAATATTTTGTACCAATAAAGATTAAAAAAATCGTAAAGGGTTCTTCTGGGCGACAACTTCAGGATCGTGCTTGCCATGAAAGCATGAGTACCTGAATGCTGATTCCCAGCTTCCATGTGAAAAGCCAGCACAGCTGCATCTGCCTATTATCCTCAGGCTATAGAGGCAGAGACAGGCAGATCCCCAGAGCTCACTGGCACTCACTCATAGACACCATCTCAAAAGTAAGGTGGAGAGTGACTGAAGACAGCTAACCTCCACTGCTGGCCTCTACGAGCTTACACATTCATGTTACATGGATGCACACACGTGTACACACACATCATAAAAAACATGGCTTCACCCTCTCACAGTGATAGCAAAGAGGTAAGTTTGTTATAGGTGTCTCCTCATCTACATATAGATGTGCTTACCGATACTCAGCCTGAGAAACACAATCATAAAGCTCCTGGGGAGTAAATTTGACATTTTTGTTTACCTGAAAAAAGCCAAAAAACAGTTATTAAGGAGATTTGTTAAGTTAAATGAGCAATGAAAGCACAATTAGAATGCGGTCTATTCACAGAGCTGAATCTCCTATCTTCTGTCGCTACCTAAAAGACAACTAAAACAGTAATAGGAAGAAGTTTCCTGACTATATTGTTAATACTGAAGTATGTTCAAACTTCAGTCCTATTATTACAACTCAATCTATTCCCAGAATACAAATAGTGGAAACAAGATGGACCTGAATGTGCTAGAATCACAAGTGCATTGCTTTGGCATTCAACTGAACAGAAAAAAAATACTATAAGCTGTATGGAACAATCTGATTTAGGATAAGGTAATATTTCCGTCCCTCCCTCTTTCCTTTCCCCGAAGTCACTCATTTATTCCCTTTTCTTCCTCTCTTCCCCCTTCCTTATGGTTCTAGGAATCAAACTCAGAGCTTTATGCATACTAAGCAAATGCTCTACCCCAGAGCTACACTTTAGCCCACTGACATTTCCTAAAAGCCTGTATTTTTAACAAGTGTTACCCAAAGACATAATTCATAAAACCACAAATATAAAAGTCCATCATTCAAACTGTTGCACACCTGAAAAACAAAATGAAGGAATCTTCTTTTTTGAAATTTTATTTTCTCTTTAGTGTGTGGGTAAGTGTCAGGGTGAGAGGACAAATTTGAGTCAGTTCTCTCCTTTGGAGATCCCTGGAACTCACGTTAACAAGCTAGCACAGCAAGCTGGCCTAGAATCTTTTTTTTTTTTTTTTTCTTTGAAAGTCCCTCTTCCCAAATCAGAAAATGTGGTTTTTTTTTTTTTTTTTTTCCGAGACAGGGTTTCTCTGTGTAGCTTTGGAGCCTATCTTGGCTCTGGTTACCAGGCTGGCCTCGAACTCACAGAGATCTGCCTGCTTCTGCCTCTCAAGTGCTGGGATTAAAGGAGTGCGCCACCAACGCCCGGCTGACAAAGTTGTATTTATGCATGTTGGGGCCCAAGCAATATCCCAGAAATATGATCTGCCTAGCTATGAATTCTAGGAGCTCAGAACTTCTATTGTCTTTTAGCTACAGGTTGATTACCTCCAGATACCAAGCCTCAGTGGGGAATGGCTCCTATTTCTGTATAACAAAAGACTCGAGAGCCAGGGTGAGTATACACCCACCCTGAGGGCTAGTAAGATGGGCTGGTGTGGAATGTGTCGTACTGCTTAGGAGTGTCTCTAGGATTAAAGAAAATATTTGATATCAGTTCTTTATAAATGATAATAGATGTCTTCTGCCATTGCCTTTGGACTGTTACTTAAGATGATGCTTCAATAAACCGTGGTCTCCAGTATTGACTGGGAGCCCTCCTGTTATGACCAGATGTCTCTGTCTTGTCCTAAATGTTGTTGGGTAGCTAGGCCTTCCCTCATCCATACTCCCCCACTCAGGGTTGGACCCGGGGCTGTTTGGCTGGTTCTGATCAATCACAGCCCCAAAGACATGAGTCCAGAATAGATGGCCCCTCCAGTGTGGGGCTAATACAGGCCAGACCCCAGTATATGCACAAGGAAAAACCTTGAAATTTGTGAAGGAAATTTTATGTAAGTGTCTTTTTGGTTTTGCTGTTAGAGACTGAACCCAGGGCCTTACTAGCCAAGTACAGCCAATGAGGTACACCCCAGCCCTCGGAATTTCATTTTTAATTTATAATCCTCCTGCCTCATCCTCTTCAGCAAATAGCCCATCACCAAATGTCACCTCAGTGGGTAGTGAATTCTCTCCCTCTTTTTAAATAAGATAAATCAACAAATAATACAGTACTATTTAAATTTTCAGAAATTTGGACTAGTGGAGAAAAACCTCAATGAAACTATCTTCTATTCAATTATTTTCAAAAACTATGTAAAGAGCTTCAGACACAGATCACTGTAGAGTATAAGGCCCAGAACACAATATCTAGCACTGTAAAGGGAACTCAAGTTTTGGCTGGGTGTTTGTGACACATGCCTTTAATACCAGCACTCGGGAGGCAGAGACAGGCAGATCTCTGTGAGTTCCAGGCCAGCCTGGTCTATAGAGCAAGTGCCAGGACAACTTTCAAAGCAATACAGAGAAACCCTGTCTCGAAAAACCAAAAAAGAAAGGAAGGAAGGAAGGAAGGAAGGAAGGAAGGAAGGAAGGAAGGAAGGAAGGAAGGAGGAAGGAAGGAGGAAGGAAGGAAGGAAGGAAGGAAGGAAGGAAGGAAGGAAGGAAGGAAGGAAAAGGGGAGAAAGAAACTCAAGTTTTACTAGCTAGCCATGTGTTTTGTTGGGGAAAAATATCCCTACCCTGATTCAATTATTATCACTTTAAAGATTCTTATTATAAAAATGATCTATAGAGGTCAGGGTATTACTTATTTAAAAAATTCCATAACTTTCTCCAATGTTTTCATAGAAACTACCCATACTTATGAAGAAATGCTTCACTTACTCTAAGTTAAAGTATATAAAATTTTTAAATATAATTATTTTAGAGCTGTGAGTACAGCTGACTGGTTGAATGCTTGCCTACCATGCATAAGGCCCTGCCAAAATATTTGAGAGAGGGAGATTAGGTATTTTTAATTTATATATAAAATCTTTAAGTTAATATAATCCTAGTATTTTGCCTAAAATGAGGATCACATGTCTATAGATTAAATGTCTTACAATACATATACTTAATGACTGGTGAAATTGGTGTATAGTTTATCACGACTTTATATGATTAGTAATTATTTTTTGCATGTGTACCTGTGTGTGGTTTATGTGTATGTGTACAAGTGGGCACATATGTATGAAGGCTAGAGGTTAACATTAAATGTCTTCCTCACTGTCTCTCCCCCTATTCAAATAAGGCAGCATCGCTTATTTGAATCCAAACAGCCAGCTTGCTCCCAGGATCCCATCTCTGACTCTCACATGCTTGAATTACAAAAGTGCTACCATGCCTACCTGGCCTTACATGGGTCTAGTCCTCATGTTTGCATGGCAAGTGCTTTACCCACTGATCCATTTTCTAAGCTCTGTAGTTTCTGTGTAAGACTTACTTATTTTATATCATGTATGCAAATGTTTTTCTTCCACACAAGAATGTGCATCATGTGCATGCCTGGCACCCTCAAGAGGCCAGAAAAGAGTACTGGATTCCCTAGAACTAGAGTCACAGCTGTGAGCCATTATATAGGGTCCAAATCTGGGTTCTCTACAAAAGCAACACTGGCTCTTAATCTCTCTCCAGCTCATTAGGTTTTGGAGTTTTGTTTATTTGTTTTGTTTTTGGCTGATATGTCTATTTTGAGAACTCACCAAGTACCCCTGGCTGTCCTGGAATTTGCTACCTGGGATTACAAGCAGAGCTACCATACCTAGTCCCAGCCCTATTTTTGTTTTAAAAATCATTTTACAAACTTCTAAACATAAATTTAGAATTAAAGCATCATAAGTCTAGTTTTTTCTTTTGTTCATGTTTTGCTCTTGTCCCAAGGGCCTGTGATTTTGTTGGTATTGACCCATAAGCCAGGACCAACACGGTATCAATCCAAACAGACAATAAATGTCAACAGGCTGCAGATGTTTGATCATAGGAGGAAGAGAATAGTGTTTGGTTAGTGGTTGGGAGAAAAATAAGAGACACCTGAACAACTGATTTTGAATCTGATATAATAAGAATATAAAGTAATTAAGTTTCTAAAAGATCTTATTTTAAAAAGTACCTAGAACTACCCTTTATTTTTAAAATCAACCATTCACATCTATTGAGATATCCAATATAGAGGCAACATGACTCCATATTCAGTTAAACAACTTATAAAGCAGGCAGTTATCTTACTAATAAAAATTAAAGCACAAATTCATGAAGTCTGTAGCCAATAATTTCAACTATTGATACATTTTTCCTTTACTCACTTGGAGGCATTTTAAATTGCTCTGTTAAATATCTCCATGCATGAGTAAGTGAGTGAGTGAGAGTGAGAGAGAGAGAGAGAGAGAGAGAGAGAGAGAGAGAGAGAGAGAGAGAGAGAATGTGTGTGTGTGTGTGTGTGTAATTCCAGGTCTAGGGTATCTGACATCCTCACACAGACATATATGCAGACACCAATGCACATGAAATAAAATAAATAAATTTAGGAAAACAAACACACAACAACACCATACACATAAAATTGAGAGATGAGATATACAAACAATAGCAGCAGAGAGGTTTTAATAAACAGAAATTAGAAATCAATAGATCCTTGGATCAGCAATGATGAAAAAACAGAGGTCAATTTAGAAAACACACTGCAACCTCATTTCAGCTCAGTCTAGGGTCTATGCTCGAGCTAGGATATAGAACATCCTGCAGTCTTCCCACAATGAAGCAATGACCTGCCCAAAATGCAAAATGTTCCCGAATGAGAAAGAAGTGCTGAAATAAGTCTATATCAGGACTCTATTGTAATTTCACTTAGGGAACATGATAAAAGACTGGATATGTTACGGTAAGGAGTGAGTAGGGGAGGTAGGAATAGGTCAAAGGCTGGAAAACAGCACATTATAGGATAAACAAATGCAGCAAGCTACTGTAAAACATGAATGCCGGGAGCCAACCTAATTAATAGTAATGAGCCTGAGTAATGTCATTGTGATAACCCCCAAGCTTGAATCTCTGCTTCCTCTTCTTTTAGAGCTATTTCTCAAATGACCACCTGCAGTTAGGCAGGCAGGCAGGCTGGCTACAGTTAATAACATTGTTAAATTTAGGATTTTTTTTTTTTTTTTTTTTGCTAAAAAGGTAGATTTTCAGTTTTATTGCAAACTAAAAGGAATATCATTTAAGATGATGGTTATATTTATTTACTTGATTGTAATACATAATTGGTTTTTTTTTTAAAGGTTAAAAGTGTGTGTGTGTGTGTGTGTGTGTGTGTGTGTGTGTGTGTAACAAATACCCACAGAGGCCAGAAGAGGGCAATGGACCCCTGGAACTGGAGAGTAACAGGCAGTTTTCAATTGCCTGACCTGACTGACCTACAAGCAGTATGTGTTGTTAATTGCTGAGCCCCTCTTCTGTTTTTCTTTTTGAGACAAAATCTCTTGTATCCTCAGCTAACCTGGTACTTACAATGTAGTCCATGGTGGTCTCTAAACCATGACAATTTTCCTACCTCAGCCTCCTGAATGCTGAGATTACAGGGATGAGCTATCATGTTCAACCAAAACACTATCTTATATATCTTAAATGAATATATTTTTTTAAACAGGCACAAAAATAAATGTCACTGGCAAATTTTTATGACACTTTCAAGTTTTAACTTAGGCCAGCCTGAACGAAACAGCATGAAAAAAAAACAAAAACAAAAACAAAACACTTCATTTAAAGAAAATACCAGGGAGGTGAAGAGATGGCTCAGCAGTTAAGAGCACTGGCTACTCTTCCAGAGGTCCTGAGCTCAATTCTCAGCAATCATATGGTGGTTCACAACCATCCGGTGCCCTCTTCTGGCCTTCAGGGACACATGCAGGCAGAACACTACATGCATAATAAACAAATAAAAAAGAAGAAGAAGAAGAGGAGGAGGAGGAGGAGAAGAAGGAGGAGGAGGAGGAAGAGGAGCAGCAGCAGCAGCAGAAACAGAAGCAGAAGAAGCAGAAGAAAATAATACTGGTAGAAATCTTACTGTATTTATTTATATTTAAACAATATATAAATATGAGTAATATATAAATATTTTTCATACCTCATACTTGATTAGGAAGTTATAGAGAGTCTCAACATCTTGGTAATTACTATTAGGAGCCAAAATCCTAAAAAGAACAAAACAAAAACAAAAACAAAACAAAACAAAAAAAACAAAAAACAAAAAACCCAAAAACCAAAAAAAAAAACAAAACATAAAAACAATAAATTAACAAAAGGACTTATAATAAAGAAGTTTCCCTCAATCACAAATATTATAAGACATTCACTAATATTTACTGTGCAAGAGATACAGCTCAGTTGATAGAATGTTTAACAACATGCACTGGGCCTGGTGACACACACCTATTATCCCCACACTGGAAAATAAAGGCAGGAAGATCAGAAGTTCATGGTCATCCTTAGCTACATAACAAGTCTGAGGCATGTCTGGGTCTCATGAGACCATGTCTCAAAACACCTAAACATTCACTAACCACCTACTGGCCAATAACGTCATTACATGCACAAGGTTCTAGACATAAAAAAGGTACTTTCTGCCTCACTCAAAGTCTTAGGGGGCTTGTTATTAAATAAACTACAAAAAGTAAAGTTATATACAAAATGGGAAATGGAAGATGGAGTAACTACGTCTTGTCATTTACAAATAATAATTTATATTATTTTTCTAGTATTAATCAAAGCAAATGGTATACTTGGTGACAGAAAGAACCAAGAGTAGTATATGGAAAGCCTAATAAAGAGGCACAGTGATGTCTGAGGGAAATTAGTTGATGACTGTGGTGTGGATACATAATCATCTAGAACAGCATTTCTCAACCTGGAAAAAAAATGGAGCAAGAGACTAATAGACAATTTTTAAAGATTTCATAAAAATCACACATCATAAGAAACACATAAATCCCAGATCATATGTTTACAATTGTTTTAGAAAACGGCTCCAAGGGCTCAATGGCATGGAACACTTACTGTATAAACATTCGAACATGAATTTGAATAGGCAACACCACAGAAATAGTGTTCTGGAACCCCAGTGCCCATGAGAGGTAGGGGCGGAGGGTGGAGAGCTGTCTACCAGCCTAGCACTAGCCTAGCTTCAGGAGTCTCTGTCTTAAGGGAATAAGGCAGAGTGACAGAACAGGACACACATGCCATCCTCCTCTGGCCTCCACAAAAGTGTACAGGTGGATATACCTGCACAAACATGCAAATATACCAGAGAGAGAGAAAAAAAAACAGAGAGAGAGAGAGAGAGAGAGAGAGAGAGAGAGAGAGATTGAGAGAGATTTTATGATTAGGTCTACACAGCCAAATATATATGTAACTATTTATTCCTCTACCTAAAAAAAAAAAAAAACAAAAACAAAAACCCCAAATAAAAGAAACAAAAAGTCAGCCAGGCGTTGGTGGCGCACACCTTTAATCCCAGCACTCGGGAGGCAGAGGCAGGCGGATCTCTGTGAGTTCGAGGCCAGCCTGGTCTACACAGCTAGTTCCAGGGCCACCTCCAAGGCTACACAGAGAAACCCTGTCTCGAAAAACAAAACAAAACAAAACAAAACAAAGAACAAACAAACAAAAAAGAAACAAGAAGTCATCTAAACTTAAGAGACACCTGCAGCTGGGAAAATGGCTCAGTGAATAAACAGCTTACTGCACAAGCAAACATCGGGATCTGATTTCAGATGACCAGCACCTACATAAAAGATAGACATGGCTGTGGTGCACATCTGTCACCCCAATGCTAGAGAGTAGAAACAGGCAGATTCTGGGGCTCACTAGCCAGTCAGTCTAGTCAAAATGACAATCTCCTGGTTCTGTGAAAGACCCTATCTCAAAAAAAATAAAATAAAATAAAAATGAAGAAACAATCAAGGACATCTCTGTCTCTCTGTCCCGCTCTCTTTCTCTCTCTGTATCTCTCTGTCTCTCTGTCTCTGTCTCTCTGTCTCTGTCTCTCTCTCTCTCACACACACACACACACACACACACACACACACACGACAGAGAGAGAGAAAGTCAGCATACTTCAAAATGCACCAAGTTTTCCATATGGAAGACTGACATGCTTCTCCCCCCTTTCCTCTCCTACATGATACAGAACACATGACATGAAGAAAGGTCAATCTAAAAGTTAATCACCTGCTACGTGTGGTGGCGCACACCTTCAATCCCAGCACTCAAGAGGCAGAGGCAGGCAGATCTCTGTGAGTTTGAGGCCAGTCTGGTCCACACCTGACCATCCAAAGCTTCAGAGTGAGACCCTGTTTTAAAAAAACAGCCAATAGTTTCTAACTTGCTAGAAGACTCCTAGAAAGTCTAAATTAAGCTGATAAATACAGATTTTATAAACTTTAAATTTAATATAATGCTTACCTTTGAATTCCTTCAAGAATATCCTTCACAACTGCCATCAACTTTTGAAGATATATAAATGCTTCTTCAAATGATGCTATTTTTGAAGTGGTCAGAGTTGAACTTGAGTCTAATGTCTGAAACACATCTGTGCTAAAATATGGAAAGAAAAGAAGTATGTGCTCACTTAGTACTTACAGGTATTTTCACTGATGACATAGAAAAGTAATAATGTGATTGTAATGCTTATCTGCTTAAGTTAGAATTCAAAGACAGTGACATGAGACAAGTCTGGCAAACATCCACATAAGGGATCTAGGCCACACACTATACAGATTTAATTTAAAGGAATTAACATAAAAGCTGGGTGAATACATTTCACTCTAAAAGACTACAGAGATGGAGGGGAAATAATGCTATTAATAATACATTCAAGTCAGTACTCAAGAACATAAACATTAAGAATTAGATAACCGGCCCGGGCCTTGGTGGTGCACGCCTTTAATGCCAGCACTCGGGAGGCAAAGGCAGGCGGATCTCTGTGAGTTCGAGGCCAGCCTGGTCTACAAAGTGAGATCCAGGACAGTCAGGAATGCTATACAGAGAAACCCTGTCTCGAAAAACCAATATATATATATGTATTTATGTATGTGAGCCCAAGGGGAGATAGGTGAGAATGAGTACAAGGAAATATGCAACACTTGTCCCAGCAATAGTGGCCCACACTTTAATCCCAGCACTTAGGAGGCAGAGGCAGGTAGGAGCTCTCTGAGTTCCAGGCCAGCCTGGTCTACAGAGAGAGCTCCAGAGCAGCCGGAGCTGTTACACAGAGAAACCTTTCTCAAAACACCAGTAAGATAAAATTGTGGTTTTAAGTTATATAAGCTATTCTAACAGCACCTATTTGAAAAACTACTCAAGGGGAATGTAGCCCAGATTCAGAACTCTTGTCTAAAATACAAGTGGTCCCAAATACTGGGGGAAAAGGTGGGCAACAAAATGGCTTAACAGGTAAAAATGCTTGCTGCTAAGTCTGATGACCTGAGCTTGATTCTTGGAACTCACAGGGCAGAGGGAAAGAACCATTTCTGCAATCTGTCCTCTGACCTCCATACTATGACACTCCTACACCCACATACACACTAATATAAAATAAAAATTACCCAGGAATGATCTCTGTATCTCTTCATTTCATTAATTCTAAAGTATTTTATGTTTATACACTAAAGTAATAGTATTTTTCCTTTAAGAAATAGTATTCACCCACCCTTAAAATTCTTACATGACTTTTCTTTAATCCAGGGATCTTTTAACTTGTTTCCAGTTTAAATACAGATTTGCAACTTGCTACACTGCTGAATCAATCTAAGTGACTCAGTGGTTGACCTATGCAAGCAATGCTCCTCATCTTGATTATACCAGAATTGCCTAGAGAGATTTTTTAATGCCGTCTCAGATTTACCCTACAGAATTCAAATTTCTAGGAATAGTGTTTAGATATAGAAACTTAATTTTCCAGGTAATTCTGATGGTTATCCCTATTTAAGCATAAACATTTCTAATGTGCTAATTTGACAAAAAAAGAAAAAAGGCCCATAGCACACTAAACTCATAGCCCAAACACTAACTACAGTAGAAATGGTAATGTAAACCAAATGAAAAGCAAACTTGTAATGATAAAGTTGAAAATGTCTTGGGAATTTAGTACCTGTTTTGATATATTGAAGTCCAAACATTCTCCAGGATAGACCAGATTTCCTGATGCCTGGTGAACTGGGGAAGATGAGAATCCAAGGAAACAGTGACTTCTTGACTATGAAGCTTCATCAAAGAAGTGTCTTCCTGCTTTTTATTCACTGTGCTTTCTGAAGAATTTGGCTTTAGTTTTGTCCTGACCTGTAACATAAGAATTACATAAAATGCATACTAGTCTTTCACTAGCAACTAAGAAAACAGAGATCCTAACTTACTAGATATACAGGCTATTCTTTTCTTTCATATGTAGAGAATATTCCTAGAACAGCATTAGACTTAGAAAAGATATTTTTCTTTCCTGTTTAGATCAAATATGTTCAATTTATTTACTATTGGGATCTTTCTTAACATTCGAATACCAATTAAGAATACTGTTTAATATATTGCCATGGAGACAAAGGGCAAATTAGGATGATTAAATAGGGGATAAAAGAGTAAAGAAGAAAATTTGGAAAGGGCCATTTGAAAAACCATATGGAAATCTACTTTAGAGGTTTCTTAAAATATATACACATATGAAAGAAATAAATCTAAATGGAGTCACTAAATAATAGGGGACACAATACCTCAACTAGACATCTTATGCCACCAAGTAAAGCCTCCAATGCCAGGATGGACTACATCTTTTTGAACTGTTGGTCAAAGGAGCCCCATGGAAATCCCCAAACATCATAGATTACTGCCAAGGCTATTGATTACCCTCTGCAATCTGATGGTAAGGTACGGCCCTATTGCTGAAGACAACACTTACGTATACCATGTAACATAAAGAAGTTGAGCTGGTGCCTAACTAGAATCTTCACTAGAACTCTCTAGTGTTGAGTGTTCATGGTACTTAAAGATACACTACACTTTACCACAGAAGAAAGGTAATCATCAATATTTCCCAGGAACAAAAAAATTCTGTGATCTACAAGAGTAACCAGCCTGACAAATTTACTGGTGCAATGGTTGTTGTTCTCTTTTTTTTTTTTTCTTTTCTTTTCTTTTTTTTTTTTTCTGCAGCTGCCGCACGGGCGATAAAGATGAAACACCAAACTTCAACAAGCCCACATGGAGTATATTGGGAAAGGCAGTGAAGAGAAGGGTAGGTGTTGGCCAACTGGGAACAGACATGGAAGGGGGAAGGGAAGAGAAAATAGGTAAAGAGACACACAGAGAGAGAGAGGACAGGCGAGAAGAGACAGAAAAAGTCCAGTCTGTCCCAGGAGAATAGCAGGAAAGAGAGGAGAGCGGGAAAGAGAGAGTGGTAAGAGAGGAGTGGGAAAGAGAAGAGAGCAGAAAGAGACGAGCAGGCAAAAGGACTATTAAGTGTGCGGAGTCTTTCTCTTAAAGGGGTCCTTTGCACTTCCATGGACCCCTTAGCTTACCAGGGTACTGCCTGAGTACATTCTGCTGGGTGACAGGGGCAGGCCAGCATAATGCCTGAATTCTTACAATAGTAACACAAATGTTATGGGAATAACCAACTGCTTTCTGATTGGATTTAAGGCCCCTCCTTAAGATGGAACCTATATCCGACCATACTAAAGTGGTCAAGAACCTGAGGCTTGATAGATTATAGGCCTATGGAAAACCTAATACTATTATTCTGCAATAGGAACATAGCAATAAAGTGATGCCTAATGGCATACTGCTATACCCACAGTTGAGTGTCTTGCTCAACCCTCATCAAGAGAAGCTTCTTCTTGGAGTATATGGGAACTAACAAGGAGACCCACAACTGGACAATGTGCAAAGACTGAGCCTTTGGAACACTCAGCCCTAAGTGGATTGTCTTAATCAAAGACCTTCCCACAGGATCTATGTGGAAGAGGAGATAGAAAAACTTTAAGAGCCAGAGGTGATAGATGACTCCAAGGAAACAATGTCTTCCAGACACAACAGGACAGAAGCACAAATGAATTCAGAGATTATGAAAACACACACAAGACCTGTACAGGTTCAAGCCAGATGGGGCCCCAGCACTGAGGGAGTCAAGTGGACATAGGCTCTCATGCCTGACCCAAAAGTTATTTGCAATTGACACCTGCTTGTAAAGGCAAAATTAGTTTTTTCCAACAGAGTCTCACTGGGTATATTATCCATACTTTAAGGCAGACCCAATGCCCAGGATTGGTTGGCCAACACAAAACAAAAAATACTGTATTTTCCTAGGGTTAAGTTTCCACATTAATAAAAGGATGATTTCAAAAGTTAGCTTAATGTCTTACTATTTTTATACTTTAAAATGTTTCAAATAGGGCTAGAGAGATGGCTCAGAGGTTAAGAGCACTGACTGCTCTTCCAGAGGTCCTGAGTTCAATTCTCAGCAACCACATGGTGGCTCACAACCATGCGTTATGAGATCTGGTGCCCTCTTGTGGAAGCAGAATGTTGTATACATAATAAATAAATAAATAAAATCTTAAAAAATGTTTCAAATAAAATTTCTAATACTGTTAATAGTAACTTCTTCTATTTATGCAAACATGCTGTATACAGGAGCTTTCTAAGGGTTTATATTAGTCACTCAATCTTCATGACCTCACAGTACTATGACACAGATCTGGAAACCCTATGAAACAGAAACAATTCAGATTTTTAAGTGGAGGAAACTGAGAAATACAAAGATTAAAAAACACATGCAAAATAACTTAAATGGTAAGAAGCTGAAGAGATTTGACTCTCAGCAACCTAGAAAGGAGGTTACACTCCCATACCATGTGCACAGGTATTACCATTGTCTATTTTGTGGGACAGAAAACACAGAGATGATCTCATTTTACCTGTTTGTATTAAATTACAAACTTAGTAAATATAAATAATGGGCCTATATATTTTTTTTCCTAAAATTAACTTTTGTAGCAATACTGGGATAGAGCTCAGGGCTTTGGCCATTTCAAACAAGCTCTCTCACTGACCTACACCTCCAGCCCAGATAATTGTTTTATATTTAATAAATTTTTAATATTGGGCATTTACCTAGTTCTCCTTTGCTCTGGCTCTTAAAACAGAGCATATACAATCATGCAAGCAGATTTTTTGTTTCATTTTCCTTTTGTTTTTCGAAACAGGGTTTCTCTGTAGCTTTGTAGCGTGTCCTGGAACTCAATCTGTAGACCAGGCCTGCCTCTGCCTCCTGAGTGCTGAGATTAAAGGTGTGGGCCACTACCGCCCAGCCATGTATAAAATAAACATTTATACAGCACTTATTATCTGCTGGGCACTAAGTTCTTCAGTAATTCAGTTCATTCTTGAGGCAATTCTAAGTCAAGAATTATTATTGCACTCGCTTTTTACAAAAAAAAAAAAAGTGGGGGGAGTAAAGGCTCAAAGAATTTAAAGCATTAGAGGCAAAAAATGAAACAACAAAAAACACACAGGTTGGGATCCTGAGCATGTAAAATCTAAAACTAATCAACAAACCTGATTTGAATTATTCTAGCATAGTGGTTGACCAAAATTTTGGGGTGTCTGGGAAGCTAACAAAACAAGGATGTCTTATTATTTTTCTACGTCCACCCCTCTTACATTTACAGCTGAAAATGGTGCTAGTTAACTGCTTCATCCTAGTTTCTTAGAAGCTTTTCAGAAGCAAATAGATGATAAATATTCTTCTCTTGATTTTCTATACTTGATAATTAAGATTAGGTATACTTTTCAAGTTATTATAGTAAAAAAAAAAAACCTTATTTTGGATATATTTATTGTTCCAGTTAAAAACTATATTATTGTTCCAGTTAAGAAACTATAAAATCTAATGAATTACACAAACAATTCTCAGTAAAATATATTTTAAGGTTCAGGATGTATCTTGGTTAATAGAGTGCTTTGCCTAGCATGCAGAACACTCTGAATTAGATCTCCAGCACCACATCAACAGTGCATTAAGGTACACATCTATAAATCCCAGTACTCAGGAGACAAAGGCAAGAGGATCAAGAATTTAAGGTTATCCTTAGCTACATAGTAAATCTGAGGCTAGCCTGGGCTGCATGAGACCCTGTCTCAAAAAAAATTCCCAAAATTACTTTGTTATTTTTCAATTATTTATTTTATGTGTTTGACTGTTTTGTCTGCATGCATCTTTGTGTACCATGTGCGTGCCTGGTGCCTGAGGAGGTCAGAATATGGTGTCAGAACCCCTGAAACTGGAGTTAAGAATACTTGTAAAGCCACCATGCAAATGCAGAGAATTGACCCTGGGTCTTCTCCAAGAGCAACATGGACTCTTAACTGCTGAGCCATCTCTCCAGGCCCTCTTTTTTGTGTGCACAGCTTTCTCTTATCCATCAAGGAAATAATACACAATTCTACAACAAAATAATAAAACCTTAAGTTCATAGTGGCATATACCCATAATCTCAGCATTACAAAGTACCAAGAGGTTAGGCATTTGAGGTTAGATGAACTACATAGACAAGTTCTATCTCAAAAAATAAACACAATTATTGTGTTACACTTCCATAGAAAGTATGTGTTTCATAAACTGTAATAAGACTTGCCTATACTTCAATATACTTGATATTTACCCATGCCATTAAAATGCTAGAATGAGTCAGGGTAATATATACTTTTACTGTTGTCTACTAAATTCACATTTGAAATGTATGTAATCAGCTACTCTAAGTAGCACTCCATAGGTATCTTACCTCTGCAAGTACTTGAAGTAGTCTGTTTACTTGAGCAAAGGTCTGTGGAAGAATACCATCATAATTTGACCTTATACTAAAGGCATGTAACAAACTTTTAGAATCCTGAAGCAGGAATTTTACTGTTTTAAAATCCACTGCATTATTAGCTGGTAAAAAAAAAATAAGAAAAAAATATGACATAAGCATACAACATAACAATCCCTTAAAACACTAATTAAGTATTAATTTTTCAACTTAAAAAAAGTAGACATTTACACATACACATCCCAACTAATGCCGATCTGGGAGAGAAAGCAACTGAACACATTTACTCATAAACAAAGTGTTCATGCTGACTTGGTATTCAGTTTTCAGATTTTAGTTCTTTGAATACAGTCAACTTCAAAGGAAAGTGAGATAATACATTCTTCAGTAAAAGGAATTAATCACTAGACAAAAAGCCCAAGCACAGTGTTTTCAAAGCTGACACTATCTCACATCCAGATGACTACTATAAAGGAGGAGTCACATGTTAGAGGCAAGCATGTAAGTCAGATGTGACTCCTGTCATGATTGAACAGCTATCATTATTATTACATTTACCTGAAATTCTATCACGTGAAAAGTAAAACAAGATTTACTGAAAATAATGTGTTGTCCCTTTATATACAACAAAACTTCAGCTAATAAACACTTTAGAGAACAGTAAGAAACAAAAGCTAGAATTTTCCTTCTGTAAATTAAAGATAATCTATTATAATAACTTTCTCTCAAGAAGCTAAAAATATTTCTACTAAATTCCCAAGCTATTGGTGATAATCACTTCAAAGGTTTAAAAAGTTAGGAGGAAGCAAGACATAGTGGTACATGCCTGTAACTCCAGTACTCAAGAGGAAGCAGGGAAATCACTACAAGTTCAAAGCCAGTTTTGTCTACATAGTGAGGGGCTATCTCAAACAAAAAAAATTTTTTTTTGAAAATGAAATAAAGTAAATTTCTAATGTTATAAAACAAATGAGAGAAAAGACAAATCTTTCCATCACTAAAGTGTTAAGTGGTTGCTTCCAAAGGCAGAATCATCATTCTGCAATGTTTGCTTTGTTTCTGTTCTAATGTTCATGGTTTCAGAGGCTGCTCTGTCTCTGTCTTTGTCTCTCTCTGTGTGTGTGTATGTGTGTGTATATATATTTTCGTGCATAAGGAGGCAGAGTTCAACCTCAAGTGTTCCTCTCACAGGTGCTTTTAAATAAGGTCCCTCACTGGCCTGGGGCTTGCCTAATTAGGTTAGGTTATGCTAGCTGGCCAGCAAGCCCCAGAGATGCGGCTGCCTTCACTTCACTGCCTATCCCTGTATACAAATACACACTTCTATACCTAGCTCTTTCACATGGGTTCTGGGACTGGGACTCAGATCCATATGAGCATTTGGAAGCACTTTACTGACTGAGCTATACCCTCACCTACAGAGACTATTACATTTAAATTCGAGAGTGGCTTTCCATTCTCTTGACAAAATGAGCTAAAAATGAGTAAGGCATCCCTATGTAGCACTTGCACAAGAACTTGTTTATCAAATTCTGAAGGGTCAAATGAAAATTTAAAAATGCATTGTAAGGGCTGGAGAGATGGCTCAGTGGTTCAATTCCCATCAGCTTACAATTGTCTAACTCCACTTCCGGGCATCTGATACAAATGGCAAAACACCAAAGCACATAAAATTTTAAAAAAAAAATACATTAAAAAATACTTTTTTTAAGGCTGGAGGGATGATTCATCTGTTAAGACCACTTGAACTTGCAGAGGACTTGGTTTCAATTCCCAGCACCTACAAGGTTGTTAGCAACCCTAACTCCAGTTCCAGAGGGTCTGCTGCCCTCTTCTGGTCTCCATGCATGTGGTATACAGAGAATGTAGGCAAAACACATACAAAATAAAAATAACGTCTTTTAAAAAAATGTAATAATTATTCAATAATTTTTTATTTTATTTTTTAAGACAGGGTCTCACTATGCAGCCTGGCTGGTTTGGAACTTGCTACATTGACCAGGCTGACTTTGAACTCATGTACTAGGATTAAAGGCATATGCCACCACACCCAGAAATATTTAGTAATTCTAACTTATGACTATGTTTATAGCTAAGACTCTTCACTTTTGCATATCCCATCTCCCACAACAAACCATTACTTTTCCTGACAAGAACATTTTTAGTTCTTTTTGTAGTCAAAGATACAGGGCAGGTGGTAATGGCTCACACCTTTAATCCCAGCACTCAGGAGGCAGAGACAGGCATATATCTGTGAGTTCTAGGCCAGCCTGGTTCCAGGATAGCCAGGGCTACACAGAGAAACCCTGTCTCAAAAACAAACAAACAAACAAACAAACAAAACTGTTAACTTCTAGGTGGCTCACTCATGTAATCCCAGTCATGGAGACAGAGGCAAAAGGACTGACAGATGTACTGGCTAGTTTTATTTCAACTTGGCACAAGCTAGAGTCATCAGAGGAGGCATCCTCAATTGAGAAAATGTCCCCATAAGATCAGACTGTAGGAAAGCCTGTGGGGAATTTTCTTAATTAGTGATCAATGCAGGAGGGCCCAGCCCATTGTGAGTGGGGTCACCTCTGGGCTGGTAGTCCTAGGTTACTTAAGAAAGCAGGCTGAGCAAGGAATGGGGAACAAGCCTGTAAGCAGTACCCCTCCATAGCCTCTACCCTAGCTCCTGCCTCCAGATGCTGGCCCTGTTTAAGGTCCTGTCCTTACTTTCTTCAATGATTAACTACTGTGTGGCAGTATAAGCCAAATAAACCCTTTTCTCTCCATCTTTCTTTTGGTCATGATGTTTCATCATAGCAATAATAAACCTAACTAAGAAAATGGGCATTCAAGGCCAGCCTGGGCTACATAACAAGTTAAAGGCCAACTTGACCCGGTCTTAAAAAACAAAAAACTAAACAAACAAGTAATTGGCAACTCCTAACAATCAACATTTATTCAATACTAACCATGGATAATATATAAGGAACTGTGTCCTAATTTCATTACTGTTGTTTTGGAATATACACTGATCAAAAGCAACACAGAAAACAGTTTATTGACCTTACAAATCCAGGTTATAGCCCATTAGTTCAGGGAAGTCAAGGTAAGAATTTAAAGTAGCACAATTATAGTCAATAGCAAAGAGAAACAAATGCACCCTTCCTTGTTTGCCTCTACTCTTACACTGTTCAAGTAACAGCCTAGGAAATGATGATGCTACCCGAAGTGGACTGGGTCAATTAACCATCAAGATAATTCTCCAAAGACATGACTACATGACAATCTGATCTATATAATTCCTTAATTGAAGCTCTCCTCTCATGTGGTTCTAGATTGTTGCAAGTTCACATTTCATGTTTTAAAATTATTTATTACATTTATATATTGTGTGTGAGCATATGTGTATCATGACACACATGTGGAAATCAGAGGACAGCTTTGGAGAGTCGGTTCTCTCATTCAATCATGTGGAGCCTGGGGATCAAAAAAAGGCTGAGCCATCTCTCTGGCCTGCAAGTTTACATTTTACACGTTAGTGACAAGGCAGAGAACATAATGTATGTGATGTGCACCTACCTAGAAGATGCATCTGTTTTTTGGTCTTAGCTTCTAGGGACCTTCCTGTTAAAATGTGTGTTCAAATGCTACAATAATTATTTGTGCACATTTTGGTAAATCTTCCTTATTTTTCATTACCTGGCTTTTGTGCCTTTAAACTCATTTTTTAACCAGGACTAGGGATTGAACCCAGGTCCTTATACATGCTAGACAAGCATTCTATCACTAAACTATATTCCTATACTTTAAACCTAATTTATTGACTCTTCTATACTTGGGTTATTTAACACAAGCCACCAGTTCTTTTTTAACAAATGGGCTGAGACTGCTCTGGGCAGTCCACACCAGCCTGTAAGCAGGTGAGACACCTGCCTATAGGCTGCACCTAAACCCCTGCCACCCAGTGGACTCTGTCCCTCCAAGACCCTCTCTCTGCCACCCAACCCCATGCACCTGAATATCCTCCCTGTGGCCAGCCCTTTCAAACAACCACAGCAGACTACATAGGCACAAATGCAAGCCACACTAGTTGGAATAACAGGCACAGGCACAAGACACACCAGATGAAAGAAAATATGAGTGAACCCCAGTATAAGAATTCAACAATTGAAAGAGCAATATGGCACCACCAGAACCCACTGGTCCTACAACAGCAAAACCAGAACATTCCAATGCAGCTGAAACACAAGAAAATGAACTTAAAAATTACTTTAAGAAGATGATAGAGACTCTTAAGGAGGAAACGAAAACTTCCCTTAAAGAAGTTGAGAAAAAGACAAAAAAATTGAAAGAAATCAATAAATCCGTAAAGAAAAGGAAGAAAGCCAAGAAAAAACAAACAGGTGAAGGAAATGGTTCAAGATCTGAAAACTGAAATAGAACAAAAAGAAAACAAATTGAGAAAATCCTGGAAACTGAAAATCTAGGGAAGCAAACAGAAACTAAAGATGCAAGTATCACCAACAGAATATGAGAGAAGAAAGATATAATCACATGAGTTAAAGATACGACAGAGAAAATAGATTCATCAAATCAAATGTTAAATCCAGTAAATTCCTAACACAAAACATCCAGGAAATCTGGGACACCATAAAAAGACAAAACCTAAGAATAATAGGGTTAGAAGAAGAAGAATCCCAGCTCAAAGGCAAGAAAACATATTCAACAAAATCATAGAAGAAAACTTTCCCAACCTAAAGAAGGATATGCCTATAAAGGTACAAGAGGCTTACCGAACACCAAATTGTGTTCCCAAACCCAAAAAGGCCCCAAAAAAAAAAAAAAAAAAAAAAAAAAAAAGAAGAAAAAAGTCCCTTGCCACATAATGATCAAAACATTAAATATACAGAATAAAGAAAGAATTTTAAGAGCTGCAAAAGAAAAAGGCCAAGTAATATACAAAGGCAGACCTATCAGAATTACACCTGACTTCTCCACGGAGACTCTAAAAGCCAGAAGGTCCTGGACAGTCCTTTTTACAGACACTAAGGCACCATGGAATCAGCCCAAACCACTATACCCAGCAAAACTTTAAATCAACATAGACAGAGAAAACAAGGTATTTCATGAC